GTTTATATAGAGGTAGGCTAGAGTGGATTATATGTGTATGCATGATAGCATTAGTGTTTGTTACAGATGAGCGAGTGAGATCATTTATGACATGTGTTGGTTTGTTGCTTGGAGAGGTTGTTATTGTGTGCCTTATTACGCCCCCACAAACTAAAAGGTCTTGAGTGACCATTAGCTTGTCTCACAAAAATAAGAAGTACATAGTAGATAGTGGTTTGGTGAGTATGTTATCCACCTGATCGTCTGTACTTATGGGGAGGATGTGAATGTTGTTATTCTATATATGATATCTAAAAAAATCGATGATCTATTAATATATGCTTAGTTCTTGCATGAAATACCATATTATTTGCGAGAACGATGACAACTCTATTATCACAGTATAAGTTCATAGGTAGTGATGGAGGAAGCTTAAAGTCACAAAGTAGATGTCAAAGCCATAGGATGTCTGCGGCGGCTACTGCAAGAGCTCTATATTCCGGTGCCGAGTATACAGGTGTGTTGCTTCTTAACACTCCATGATATAAGTGTGTTTCCTAGGAAGGAATAGTAGCCGAATGTGGACTTTCAGGATATTGGGTCACCAACCCAGTCAACATTAGAGAACGAAATGAGAGATAGGGGCTCTTAGTGAATGGGAATGATGTGAGATAGTGTACCTTTGATATATCAAAGAGTATGTTTAAGAAGATAAATATATGACTGTTGAGGGTTGTGCATATGCTAGGACAAGAGGTTAACATTATAAGCAATATCTGGACATGTTAGTATGAGGTACTGTAGTGAGCTAGTGCCGACAATATAGTGTGGGATATGAAAGCAGAGGATCCATGAAAAGGTTTGTGGGTAACTTGGTGAAGGTTGGATTGGATAGGGGATTGCATTTGGTGAGGTTGGGTTGTTGTAGAATGGATATGGTGTACCCTTATTGGGAGAGAAAATACTAGCTGGTGTAATGTGTGATGCTGATGCCTAGAAAGTTATGTACCCGACCAAGATTTTTCATATTGAAGCTGCCATTGAGTTGTTGGATGAGAGTAGAAATGGCAGATGTGTTATTACCCATAAGAAAGGTGTCATCAACATATATAAACAGGTAAATCCATGTATCTTCCTGACTAAAGGAACGAATTTGTTGGGGTTGAATACGAGTGGCACAAGATGTGTAGTAAAAGTTTTATACCACCGCAAGGAGCCTTCTTTAAGCTGCATATAGATTTTTTTAAGAAGACAGACATGATCTGGATTGGTAGCATTTGCAACCCTTTGGTTGTACCATGTAGATATTTCTAGTGAGGTTTCTGTGAAGGAATTCATTGTCCACGTCAAGTTGCTAAATTGCCTAGTCATCATATAGGGCTACTGTAAGAAGAACACTGATGGTTTGAAGTTTAGCTAGGGGATTGAATATCTTAGTGTAGTCTTTATTATTATTTTGGTGGTTTCCTTACGCTACCAATCAAGCCTTGAACCGAGCTATTTATCCATCAGCATGGTGTTTGGTGCGATACATCCAACGACATCCAAGAACTGAGGTGTCTGGAGGATGAGGAACGAGCATCCATGTTCCCTATTTCTGTAAGGCAAAAAATTTGGCAGCCATGGCCTTTCTCCATTCTATATGTTTGATGGCATCAAAGTAAGAGGTGGGGTCAGATGGGGTGGAGAGTGAAGTTTGATGATGGAGGAGAGTTAGTTGATTTGTAGGCTTTAGAGAGGTTGTTTGATACTGTGTTATCATAGGATGGTGGACAGCTTGTAAAAGTGGAGTTGGGTTACTTGATGATGTATATGGATGAGAGGTTGGTTAGTTGACAGGTATGTGATTTGAATCATGAGACTAGGAAGGTGTCAATGAGGGGACGGGTTGTGGATCATGGATAGACAAGGAGGGCTGATGTGTTGTATGGGTTGTAGAGGTGTGTATAGTGAATGTAGGAGTGAGAAAGTGAGGAGGGGTGGTAGCTAATTCGGCTAGTAAAGGTGATTTGAAGAGGAACAAATGGGTGGGTGGAGAGTATTTTGCGAAAGGAAAAGAATGTTCAATTAATGTGACTTGTTGTGAAATGTAGACATGATTGGTAGAGGGCTCTAAGCATTAATAACCCATGTCGGAGTTCAGATATCCCATGAATACACATTATTTGGATTTAGGTTATAGTTTGTGGAGAGATGAAGATGGAGTTAATATCTAGCCAAAGGTGCGGAGATGGGAGTAGGAGGGGTATTATAGAGTAGTTGATATGGAGATTGATTGTGAGTATTTGGAGATGGCATTCAATTAATTAGATAAGTGGCACTGAGGGTTGTATCAAGCCAATACTGATATGGAATATAGGTTGTTTGAAGTAGTGTATGAGTTGTGTCTAGAATATGCCTATGTTTTCGTTCAACTAAGCCATTCTTTTTCGGGGTATAGGGACAAGAGATATAATGTAGGTTGACTTGTTGAGTAAGAAATTGAGATAGTTTATTATTAAGATATTCTTTTCCCCTGTTCGTGCACAAACATTTAATTTTATGAGACGTTGTGTTTTCGATTAGATTTTTGAAGTTGATAAATATGTTGGTAAAATCAAATTTAAAGAACATAGGAAATAGCCAGGTAAAGCAAGATAAATCATTGATAAAAACCACATAATACTTATAGCCTTGATTAGAAGAGATTGGGGAGGGTCCCCATACATCCAAATGAAGTACAGCTAGTGGTTTAAGTTGATGATTGAAAGAAGTATCAAATGCTAACTTATGACCTTTAGTGGTAATGCAAGAAACATAAGAAGATAAGAAACTAGGTATGTGAAGTAGAGGGTTGAAATTTGAGATGGTAGCTGCGTCACATTTATGTGGATAACCGAGACGGTTGTGCCATAGGATTGCATTGGAGCTGGTAGCAATGAAGACAATCGGATGAGTAACTGATGAGGTAGTGTAGAGAGGATATAGTCCATCACGGTAAGGTCCCTGCATCATGACTTGATTTGTTTGTAGATCCTTGAAGAGAAAGTCGGAGGAATCAAATGTGATAGTGATATTGGTATATCTAGTTAGATTTGAAATAGAAAGTAAATTGTGTGTGATAGATGGAATATGAAGAAGGGGAGAGAGTTTGCGATAGAAATGGAGCTGCCATTGCCGATGGTAATGCCATATGCACCTTGATACAAATAGTGTTGCAACATGTTGCTAAGCGAGTTGGTGAGGTGAGATGATGTGCCAGAGTCGAGGATCCAATCTGTAGAGGGATAGTCTGATGTTGCCATAAGAGCTTTGTTTTGTGTGGAAGCAGAATTGGGAATGTAATTAATGTTCAGGAGATGCCAGCATGTTGATGTTGTGTGTCCCTTCTTATTACAGATCTGACAGATTAAGGGAGAAACAAAGCTGGATCGGTTAGTATTATTGAAATTTTGAGATGAATGACCTATGGAGTGACGACCATGACTTTTGTATGAGTAGAGGGATGTATGAGGATTGGAAATGGGAATGGTTTGAGCTGCCTCTGCTGCTATAATGATTTCTTCACTAAGAAGAAGTGAGTAGAGGTTATCAAGACTGGTGGGTGTTAGCATGGTGTGTGTGGAGGTCTTTAAGGCTTGATAGGGAGATGGGAGATCATTGAAAGTGTAAGGGATAATATCTTCAGTGTTAACAGTGGATCTTGCGGAAGCAATGTGATCAACGAGTGTTTTGATCTTGGACAAATATTGGGTCATAGTTAGATTTTTCATTGATATGTTATGAAGCTCATTTTTTAGTTGGATTACTCTAGAGTGATTTGAGGATTGGAATCTGCGCTCAAGAGTGGTCCAAACAGCAACTGTAGAGTCTAGATGAAAAATGTATGGTAACACTGAGGTAGTAATGGTAGAACAAATGGTTGTAGCTAGGTTTTGATCTATAAGAAACCACTGTGTATTTGAGGGATTATGGATGGTTGTGTCGTCGATTTGTGGAGAAAAGCGAGGAGGCGTGGATGAAGGGTCCAGGAAAGCAAAGAACCCATTAGCATGAAGGAGTTTGCTCACCTAAGATCGCTATAGAGAATAGTTATCATTGGATAATTGGGTGGTGACTAGGTGGTTGATGATGGAGATGACAAATTTCATGGAAGGAAAAATGGAGGCATATGTTTGACTATTTGCAGAGATTTGTTTGATTTGAGAGGTAGCCAAATATGCCATGAGTTCTCTTATGCTTCACGCCTGCTCTGATACCATGCAGAAGTCTTTAGTTCTGCTACAGAAGACTGAACCAACTGAAAGACAAGTTAGCACAATACAAGCATATAATAAAATAGATGAATCAGTGAATGTAATAATTCCTTCATTGCCTTTTTACTGTGATTTTGTACAATTTATATAGAGATAGGCTAGCGTAGATTACACGTGTATGCATGATAGCCAGAGTGTTTGTTACAAGAGGGTGGCTGAGATCATTTATGACATGTGTTAGTTTGTTTCTTGTCAGAGGTTGTTGTTGTGTGCCTTGCTAGTTGTCAATGGTATTATCTCTAGTTGCGCTAGAGCTGCCTGTGCCTTAGGGATGAGGGAGTGAGGGGGTTAGAGACACAAGGACTATGTTGGTTTTGCGAATAATGCATGAGTAATATGAGTTTTTCATATAGGCCTTTTATCGTCATCCAAATGGATTTATTATTCTGTGCGGAGTCTGAAGGGCGTCCAGAGATCAATAAAAATGCGTTACGTCACCTCATTGATCGGTATCAACTCGGTATCCACGCTCGGTACCCCTCAGTATCCCTCGGTATAATTGGATACCCAACGCTTAACCGGACGGTTCCCGTCCGGTGTCCGCATAAAATAATAGCTCGTCCAAATGACACACTGCCCGAATAAGTTAAACGAGAAAAAAATCCCTCACTCTCAGGCTCTCAGTCCGGTCGGTCCAAACAGTAACTTCTACTTCGATTAAAAATAAAGATCAAATTTCTCGAGGATCACAGACCAACCATGATGGATTGGAAAAAATCTATTGGAAAAAATCTCCTCTCCTTCCCCGTTGCTTACTAACTTCCTCTCCTGTACGTATGTCTCTGCTAATTCTTTCAACTTGACTCCATCAATGGAAGGAGCCATCTTCCCGAACCGCCCCTCCTCCCCTCTCCATCCAACCAAACCCCGCAAGAAAACATCCACTCAACCTCCCCAACACCTAAAGTTCGGGCCTTCCCTTCCCCCTCCTCCCCCTCCTTCATCTCCTTCACTGCCCATCGACTCCCTTCTCCTCCTTCTCACCCAGCACAACCCACCTGCATCTTCCTCCTCCACTTCCGCTGCTCCTGACCGCCGCCACCCACTATTTTCTTCCATTGATGAACCGTTCACCGCACTTTCCAACGACCCCCGCCTTGCCTTCCTCTCCCCCAAAGCCAATTTCTTTCTCGGTCGCATCCTCTCCCAACCTCTCCCATCGCTCCCCTCCTTCCTCTGCTCCTCCAAAGCTGACATTCTCGCCGTCGACTCCGTCGGCCTTCTCAAAGCCCTCGACATCGCCGGAGACTGGGAGCGCGCTCTTTTGCTCTTCCAATGGCTAGCTACGGATGCTAAATCCAAGCTTGACTCTCCGGCCATCGAGATCATTGTCCGGGTCCTCGGCCGCGAGTCACAGCACTCCCTTGCCTGCAAACTGTTCGACTCGATCCCCCTGGAAAAGTACCTTATCGATATCCGCGCTTACACCAGTCTCCTCCACGCCTATTCCCGATCAGGCAAGTTCCAGAGCGCCGTCGACTTGTTTGAGCAGATTAAGAACAAGGATCTTGTGCCCACTATTGTCACCTACAACGTCATGCTGGATGTCTATGGAAAGATGGGCGGATCAAGGACTCAAATTTTACACCTTTTGGATGAGATGAGAGGCAGAGGTTTGGAATTTGATGAATTCACTACGAGCACTGTTATCGCCGCTTGTGGGAGAGATGGGTTGGTCGATGAGGCTGTGGAGTTTTTTCACCAATTGAAGTCCCAGGGTTTTTCACCTGGGATTGTTACTCACAATGCTCTCCTTCAGGTTTTTGGGAAAGCTGGGAATTTGCCACAGGCATTGAGAGTTCTCAAGGACATGGAAGAGAGTGGCTGCACTGCAGATTCAGTAACGTACAATGAGCTAGTTGCAACTTATGTTAGAGCTGGGTTTTATGAAGAGGGTGCTGCCTTGTTGGATACAATGGCCAGTAAAGGAATCACTCCCAATGCTGTTTCTTATACCACAGTGATCAATGGCTATGGAAAGGCTGGGAAGGAAGATGAGGCATTGAGTTTGTTCAGAAAAATGAAGGAACTTGGCTGTGTTCCAAATGTTTGTACCTACAATACTATCCTTGGAATGCTTGCAAAAAAGTCGAGGAACTCAGAAATGCTTGATATACTCTTTCAGATGAGATCTGATGGCTGTGTTCCTAATCGTATCACCTGGAACACAATGCTTGCTTTGTGTGGAAAGAGAGGCATGGAGCACTTTATCAACCAAGTGTTTGTCGAAATGAAGAGTTGTGGTGTCGAACCAGATCGTGATACCTTTAATACTATGATTTCTGCCTATGGAAGGTCTGGCTCAGGCAATCGAGCTTTGAAATTGTATGAGGAAATGACTGAAGCTGGATTTTGCCCTTCTCTTACAAGTTACAATGCGCTGCTGAACGCAATTGCTAGAAAAGGTGACTGGCTTGCTGCTGAATCTGTTTTGGATGATATGAAACACAAGGAATGCAAACCTAATGAACTTTCTTATTCCTTACTCCTCCAATCCTATGCAAAGGCTAGACATGTTGAAGGAATAGCAGCATTCGAGGAAAAAGTTTATGCCGGCGAGATATTCCCAAGCTGGGTTGTTTTAAGAACACTCGTTATTTCAAATTTCAAATGCAGAGAGTTGAAAGGGATGGAGAGGGCTTTTGAAGAGGTTAAGAGGAATGGTTATAAACCTGATCTTGTAATTCTTAATTCTATGCTAGGCATATATGCTAAAAATGCAATGTATGATCGAGCCCATGAGATGTTCCATTTGATCCATCAGAGTGGGCTGATGCCTGATCTAATCACACATAACAGTTTGATTGATATGTATGCAAAGTGCGGTGAGTGTTGGAAGGCAGAAGAAGTTCTGATAGGCATTCAGAACGTGGGTCTGAAAGCTGATGTTATCTCCTACAATACTGTAATTAATGGTTTTTGCAAGCAAGGACAAATACAAGAGGCCATGAGGATATTCTCAGAGATGATTGAAGCTGGGATTCGACCATGTATAGTTACTTATAATACATTCATTGGTGCTTATGCAAGCAGGGAGATGTTCAGGGAGGCTGAGAATGTGATTAGTTATATGATGAATCATGACTGCAGACCTATTGAGTTAACTTATAAGACAATGATTGATGGTTACTGTAAAGCAAAAAGGTACAATGACGCCATGGAGTTTGTAAATAAAATTGCTGAAATAGACCCTTCTTTTGATGAGAGGTTGGTGCGAAAGCTGGCTCTCCGGTTAAAGGGCTAGTGAGTGTCACTGCACTAAATTCCCTCTCTCTCTCTCTCTCTCTCTCTCTCTCTCTCTCTCTCTCTCGATTTGTTTGATTTTATCCAGAAAAAGTTTACTATAATCTGGTGCTTCTATCTTCTGTTTTCATCTTTTGTTAATTTTGGCTCTTTAAACATCCTATAAATTGTTAGTTATGTTAATATAAATCTCATATGGTACAGCTAGAATTCAACATCAACCAGACAGTTATCAAGAAATACACATGTCAATTTTTCATTAGCTGAATAATTATGCTTTTTCCTTCTAGCCTCTATAAATAGGCTACTATATACATTTCTCATGTTATGATAAGACAATACAGAAATATCCTTCCTTCTCAATTCTTTTCCTTTCTACTTGCTTTTCTTGTTACAGCTTACGTTTGTGAAAGCCTTTCATGGTATCAGAGCTAGCTTTCCCGGTTTATTTATTTATTTATTATTATTATTATTATAGCTTTCCCGTGACTGTGAAACAATGCTTCTCATGGAGACTTCATCTGCGTCTCTTGCAGCCGCACCAGACATTCGATGAAACTCAAGCTCCTCTCTTGATCTTCGACCCATTCCTTCTCAGCTAAAGTTTCTCATGGGCAACATCATGAGCATCATCTCTCTCACTCTTACAGCCGACAACTACCCATATGGCCTTCACAAGTCTTCAAGCTTTCAAGCTGTTTAGAGGGTTTTCTTCGTGGGAGCTGCACTCGTCCCTCCCCAAACGCCTCATCTTCTCCCACAACCTTTTCCTATCAAACATGGACGCTTCTTGATCAAAATTTGGTAGCTGTATTATACTCGGTTATATCTCCTAGTCTTCTCCAATATGTTTTATCTCTGGATCATTGTGCAGAAATTTGGGACACTATAGCCCATTATCTTCAATCGTCTACCCGATCCCACACAATCCAACTTTGCAATGAACTCCACCATCTTTCCATGAAAAATCAAACTGTCCCAATACCTACTCACCATTAAATTCAAGGTTGATGCCATTGCTGCAACTGAATCTCCTCTTGATCTTGAAGGCATTATTCTTTATACATTAAATGACCTTCCCACGAAATATCAAGCATTCAAAAATGTCATTCGTACAAATATTTAACCCGTAAGTCTTGATGATTTGTATACATTACTATGCAGCGAAGAGCAAAATCTTGCTCAAGAAGCAACCAAAGAAATTCAAAATCTTCAAATCTCTGAACCAACTATGGCCTTTGCAGCTCCTCGTGGACGTGGCTGCATATGTCATTTATCTTACCGATTGCTTATCTCGGACACCACAATCTCGTTCAAAAAATCTAATTCTGATTCAATAACTTGCCAAATATGTTCTAAAGTTGATCATTCTGCTCTAGGTTGTTGGTTTCGTCAGTATCCTACTTACACATCAAAATCTCAGAAAATGACACTCTTCTCATCATCAGAACCTACTGCTCCACCGTATTGGTATCTTGATAGCGGCGCCACAACACATCTCACTTCTGATCCCTCGCAGCTTAACTCTATCAAGCCATATGTTGGACCACATCAAATTACCTTGGGTAATGGCCAACAATTGTCCATTCAACATTCTGGGAAAGGTATTCTTCCCACTCCTACAGGTAATCTCAATCTTCATCTTATATAGCATGTTCCTAATCTATCTTTCAATCTCATATCTATCCACCGTCTTACCACTGACAATAATTTCATTGTCAAATTTTTGTCTCACGGTTTTCAAATTTAGGATTCAAAGATGGGGGGTCGCCTTCTTCTCAAGGGCCCCTGTCTTAACGGGTTGTATCCTATTCGCTCACCCACTACCAAGCAACATATAGCCCTTCTCTCAGCCAAGATGTACCTAATCTTTGGCACAGACGTCTTGGTCATCTTGCCTACACCACATTCCAATAATTGGCAAACCATATTTCTTCTTTATGTACTCATGTCTCTAGTCCTCATTGTAATGCTTGTCGGTTGGCCAAAAGCCATCACTACCTTTCAACCAGTCTACAAATTCTAGTATGTCTCCTTTTGAGTTAGTCCATTCGGATGTATGGGGACATTCCCCTACTACCTCAATGCAAAGTTATAAATATTATGTATCTTTCATTGATAATTTTTCCAAGTTTTGCGGCATGTATCCTCTCATAACTAAATCGGATGTGGTCTCTAAATTCATTGAATTCAATAATATGATCAGTTGTCAATTCAATACTCAATTTAAAATTTCATTCTGATGGTGGTGGCGTGTTTATTAATACTAAATTTCAACGTCTTTGCAAACAATAGGGTATAATTCTTCAATACACTTGTCCCTATACTTCATCCCAAAATGGTGTTGCCGAAAGAAAGCTTCGTCACATCTTGGAAAATGTTTGTAGCTTACTTATTGAAGTCAATCTACCACAATCCCTATGGGTTGAAGCTCTTCATACATTTTTCTATCTCATAAATCATCTACCCACTCGCTCTCTTCAACAACACAGCCCATATCATATCCTATATGAAAAACCGGCCACATATAATCACCTCAAAATTTTCAGTTGTTTGTGTTATCCCTGTCTACATATTAATTCCACCACCAAACTATCACCTCTTTCCATTCCTTGTATTTTCATTGGCTACGCCTCTTCTTAAAAGGTTTATTGTTGTTTTAACCCAAGATCAGTTAAGCCTGCATCTCTAGACATGTAATATTCAATAAATCTATCTTCCTATACCAACAAGCATCCTCCAACACATCATCCAATTCCAATCAAAATTTCATAACAGCTCTCATATTGGTTCCTATTTTAACTATCAATACAAGAAGCTCCACTTATCCCATTACTATAACTCAAATTCTCTCTACGAGCCAATCAATTTTGGCTTCGCACTCATCCTCCATCCCTATGGCTACATTTCAAGACACACATTCACCAGCAACTCAACTTCATGACACAAATCTGCCAATTGCTACCTCTCCAATTCCTCAAACAACCACTCATCCAATGCAAACTAGGTTTAAAACTGGTCATCTAAATTCTAAAAACATTTTCAGTCTATTTCATCATGATCTTTTTTCAATATCCTAGCACATATGTGTTGACCTCATTTTTGTATGAGGTCACTAGGGCTTTTTCCAGACTCTAAATCAATCCAGACCTTAGGATCTATCTAGACCCTAGGATTCTTCCAGATTAATCCTAACCTTTGATCAGTCTAGCCTTTAGACAAATCCTAACCCTAGGATCTATCTAGACCCTAGGATCCTTCTAGAATCTGGACCCTATGATCTATCAACACCCTAGGATTCTTCCAACCAATCCAAACCCTAGAATCCTTCTAGACTCCAGACCCTAGGACCTTCCTAGACCTTAGGATTCTTTTAGATTAATCCAGACCCTAGGATCAACCCTAATTCTAAATTTATCCAAATCTTAGGATCAACCTAGATCTTAGATCAATCCATACTTCAAACAAACCCAGACTTCAGACCTATCCAGATTTCAAACATATCTAGATCTCAGCCCTAGTCAAAACTTTGATCTAGCATCCAATTTAACTTCAAACATATCCAATCACTTATGATCATCCAAATGATCATAAATGATTTGGGTAATTCAATTTCAAACATTCAAACCCAAAATTCAGTTCAAATCCAAAAATCTAGACTAAAATTCAATGTCTAAAAAGCTTAGATTCAAGAATCTTTTTTTAGTTATTTTTCAAACACTTCAAACCCCAGTTAAATGACCTCTAATTCAATGTATATCAATTACATATTAATAGTGCATGTCTCTATAGGTAACCCTCCAAATTTGAGCTCAGTATGAGACTTCTAACCCTAGAAACTGAATTGAAATCCAAAAGTAAAGCCTTCAAATATTTACGGCCTATGTCACTATACATGCTACCGAGTGAATCCTGACATTGGAGCCTTCTTCAAACCCTCTGATCATATCCATACCCTTGATTATGATTTGTTAAACATCAAATTGTATTTTGGTGGACCCACTTTGACCCCTAATTGATCAAGGGCCAAAATTCCCCTTAAGGGAAATTTTGGAGTTTTATCTAAACTTCAATTTAGCCTATTCAAATCAAATCTTGAAACCTCATTCAATGCATCTTAATCATCATTAAGAGTGCAATGGACCCAAACCCATACTCTGGGTCAACTTGGTTGACCAAACAAGCCCTTTAGGGATTCAAATAGACATTTGACTGAATTGACCTCCCCATACTTTGGGACCACCTCCAATAGACTCAAAACATCAAATCAAACTTATTGAGCCCAAATCTAGCTTCTAGTTCAACCTAGTTTACCAAGTCAATCTAGGTCAACCCAATGGCCCATTAAGGGCCCAAATAGGTGACTTAACCCAATTAACCCTTAAGCTTCCTTATATATAATCAAATTTCAGATCAAATTCAAACCCACACAAACTCCCCTGGCCATCCCCCTCAATGATTTGGACTTGACTGGGCCCTTGACCTAGTGAACAATTGACTTGGTCAAGTGAACCCAAGTCTGGTCAAATTTGACCTATTTGGGTCAAATCACTTTATACAATGAAATCAATGTCTTGAAGCTCTCAAATATATTCCATTTGATATCTTTAATATTCTATAACCTATCATAAATCAAGTCATGGTTATTTTGGCCAAGTCAACCCTTTATAATTTGGTCAAACTTCCTTTAATGCATATGTATGCATTCAATCCTTAAGCTTTCAGCTTCAAGCTCTTTCTAAATCCATTCAAGAATTCACTCACTGCCACCTCAGCAATCCATTTGGCTATTGACTAGTCAACAATAGTCAACAAGCTTCAAATTGGGTTAAGAGTGGTCTAAGTGATCAAAACCTTTTTGTTTAAACCTTCCCACTCATTCAAAACTCCTCTAGCAGCTCTAATGTCTTCGAGAGATTTCCTAAGCCAACCCTTAACACTTAGATCAAGATCAACTGGCTTTGATCTCTCCCATGTGCAAACGGGGACCAAAATGACCTTTCCACATGGCATGTACTATCATCCTTTGATTCTCTGCCATCCTAACAACCTTTGGAAAGATGGCAAGCATCAAGGAGACTTCCCAATCAATCACAACCGTCCATTCAAGCTAGTGAGACTTGAATAGTGCAAAGGTTTAAACCAAGCCTCATTCTTGACTTGGCAATATCTCACCACTCAAGCCCTACCAGACACTAAATCCTTTTCATTCGAGCTCGCCATACCTCCAGCTCCATTTC